CCTCGTGTGACTGTGCCATCGCAACAGCGGCTCCCTCGTTAAAACCATTAATGCAAGGTTGTGGCAGTGTGTGTGTTGAATGGCATAACCAACACATTTATTGAATCAATTGCAAAGGTGTCATAGCCTCAGCTTGAATAGAGAAAGGAAGAAACATCACTTGTGTGTTGGTGATGGATTACATTACAAACGGTTCTTTTTATTTTAGTGGCATGGTCTTTAATGGAGGAGTGGTGGGGAAGGCATATAGAGGCCTCATATGCAGCTTTGAATACTCAGCAGGTGTGACAATGGTGAGCAAGACTAACCATGGTGTGCACATGAATGAATGCTAATTAATTTGTGACAGGTGCTTCCTAACGATTAAGTTTTACTTCATGAATTTCTTCCTGAGGTTTCGTGATGTTATAGTTGTTAATCAAAATCAATACCATTAGATGGATTCTGTTGAAAATGTCTTTGTCCTGTAAGACAGCTGTTACGTTTACTATGCATGCCACATACAATGTTGGTTGATGGGGGCCACATGTTCAGAATATTATATGTGGCATAACTACATTCTTTGTGCCATGCAAAAATTTTGCATCAAAAGATTTTGTTTACGTGTAGATTTTATGTATTTAACGTTCTTTCTAACATATTTTGTTAGGATCACAGTAGACTCGTGCTGCCAGTGGCTACGACGCTTGCACACGAGCTAGGTCACAACTTTGGCATGGAACATGACATAGACAGCTGTGAATGCCCAGAGAAGAAGTGCATCATGTCTCCCTCGTCTGGGTATGTTCCGTGGGCATGTTCTATATTCAGTGCAGCATAAATTGAGCTCTAACGTGGGATTTGTCTGTTATGTGTACGTGTGACATAAACTTTGGATTGTAAATCTGTTCAATTAATTACATATACTTCGATCAGTGACCATTAAATGAATTTCGCAAATTTGGCAAGCATGAAAGTGCTCAGTTTACTTCTCACATGCGCTCTCAGAAGCTTTTACACTATGTGCAGGACACTGATAAGATGTTCCATTGTCTACAATTGGAGATAGGCACAATTATTACTGTCACGCTACTGCACTGTGCTGCAGTAGTTATTTGCGGCAATAATGCTAGAAATTATTACGTCATAAATGTTCAAGCCGAATAGGCAAGACTTTGAGTCTCACCCAAGTAGAATCATCTCGTAGTAGATGGCGTTGAAAATCCCATTTATTGCATAAGCTAATGAAATCGCTAACATCTGTATTGCCAGTTAGACGCACTTCGAATTATCCTGCCATAAAACTCACGATGTCGAAAGCAGCATAACGAAGGAACTTTCGTCAGATGTTCGTTACGTCAGATGTCTGTTTTGTGACTGTGTCGTGTGTCACTCGGCTGTTTTAGGTCTTTCATACCAAGGCACTGGTCAGCGTGCTCCTACAGATACTGGAAGAAGTCGCTGCGCAGGGAGCTTGACTACTGCCTGCACAACAAGCCGTATCACATATTTGAGAGTCCCATGTGTGGAAATGGTTATGTAGAGGAAGGAGAAACGTGTGACTGCGGGCTGCCGGAGGTTAGAAAAAAAAACACTCATCTGGTTTTTGGTTATGTTGATGTAAAAGTAGGAAATAGTAGAATTTCATTGTGTTAGTTGCTATCGAATCGATGCTCGCATGTTCTCTATCACATAATAGTCGTAACTCATTAAATAAGTTCATTCGGTTGGCAGACTAATATATATAACAGGGTTAATTGTTACTCAACCATGAAAATTTACAATTTCACGGTTGAGTAACAAATAACCTTGTTATATACATAATAGTCGTGCTTATGGGTGCCTGCAAACTTCATGAACAAGATGAGTGCAGAAAAAGAAATGTGTCCACCAAAGTGCTTGATTTCTGGTATGTATCTCTGTGACTTGTGAATAATGAATGGCATGACTTGATAATGTCATAACCTACCCTAATCTGTACGAAGAAATTAGCAACATTGCTTTTCTAATTTATTTGGACCCATGAGAATTTTTTAGCAAAATTTTAAAAACCCAAATTTTTTTATGGTTTTCAAAAATTAACCCACTATGTCCACATGAGCCCAAATTAGCACATGGGCTCCTAAATGGAACGTTCATTATTACATGCAAATTCGACTGATATTATAAAGCCATGTCCACCTTTTGGTAGCCACAGCAGATCTGTGTGCTTACACCGCATAGCACTATACCCTAACATTTTTAGCCATTTATGTTTTTGCAGACATGCTTGCCCACTTGGAAAAATAACTCTAAAAAAACAGTGTTCAGTAAAAGTCAATTTCAAAAAGGCACTTTAGTTAGAGATGTCATAATGCATAGGGCAATTCTCCGATCAGCCCACTCTAGCAACTAGCAAACTAATTGTCACCGTTTGAAGTTTAGCCTGAGATAAACCTAGCTAGGCTGGTGGGTAATTTGCTTTTTGCTAAGTAATGAACGCTTACGTCATACGTATGTTGACTCCTTATCAATCGAGATTTTTGACACGCACAAAACATGCACTCTCCACTTTCCATGCGAACGAACAATTCATAATATGTACCGCGCGATGTTGAATGGGTTTTAAACTACGCAGCGTATCCTGCTGTGAATCAAAAGGTCTGACGTCAATCGGCACTGCTACGCTACGTGACGTGGTCCATTACTTGCTAGCTGTGATTGCTATATATAAACGTTCCCATTTCAGTTCTGTGACAGCCCCTGCTGCAACGCGACGTCATGCCAGATCTACCCTAACGCCACCTGTGCGACGGGTATGTGCTGTGATCTGACCACGTGCAAGGTACGAATGAATTTATGAGCAGGATCTTGACGGCTACCTGAACCTCCCGTCTAGTAACTGTGTAAAGCTACATGTATAGGCAACACGCACGCACGCACGCACGCACGCACGCACGCACGCACGCACGCACACATGCACACATACATTATATGTCTGCACTTCAGCAAGATCTCGCATACAAACAGGTTTCATTACACTTAGAAAACAAGCGACGCGCTAACTTTATTTTGCGACGCTAATTCAGTTTGATCTAATTATGACTCATCTGGCGAGCATCGAGTTTAATATCAATTATGCAGGCAATTATAATCAAGTAAATCAGCTACGTGGATTAAGAATGATGTATCCACGGAAGCATGAAATGCATGTCTAACCAGTTTTATGCTATTGCGATGTCTAACCAGTTTTTTGCTAGCTATTGTGGTGTCGGCTAGCCGGCCATTTTTAATTGTTGGTTGCGTGTGGCTGTTGTTTACAGCACAAGCCACCCGCGACACTGTGCAGACAAGCTGTCAGTGAATGTGACCTGCCTGAGTTTTGTCGCGGTGATTCACTGAACTGTCCCGATGACGTGCATGTGCAGGATGGAGAGGGATGCGCAGCTGGCAAAGTGAGTGTGCTGCTACCTAGGTGTCTGTCTACCTATTCTGTTTTCTATTCTATATATTCTATATTTGTCCTGTATTCTATATCTATGTCTATATTCTTTTTGGACTATGAACTTGCATAGCATAATTGCCTGCAGTTTTCTTACATACTAACAATTTTCTTCTATGGTGCTCTTCATCCTATTGGTCCCGTTCGATCGAACAATATTTCGTCTGCTTTTGAAAACGCCAATTCTAGTTGTATCTGTTATTTTATTATGTTCTGTTGTATTATTATATCTGTTCTGTATTATTGAATATGGGGCTGCTCGATGTTGCTGTAATTTAGATACACACGTGCAAAATTTACTGCACTAGCTGCTGTCTTTTATATATCTTTAAGGTGTGATTATATGTTGGCCGTCCTGTGCATAGTCCTGTGTGCAGCCCTGAGAACTTCAACTAGTGAATGCTGCTGTGGAGTTATCATGATAATTTATGTGTGAGATGGTATCTAACTAATGCTAAGCGGTCTACGTATCCACTGCTGTGTCCGTAATATGTGCCCTCGCTCAACAGGCGTACTGCTACGATGGGACGTGCTCGTCACATGAGAGTCAGTGCAAACGGATCTGGGGACCGACTGGCCGGGTATCAGCCTCAGAGTGCTTTGACCATAACCTCCGTGGCACCGAGAGGGGCAACTGCGGTTACTTCCGCAACAACAAAACCTTCACCGCCTGCATGCAGGAGTAAGCTCTCAATTTCAAGTTTTAAAATTAGAAATCTCAAATTTTAAGTTGTCAATTTTCTGTGAGGGATTGCCATGTATCGTTTTTCTCCTTCCCTACTGTACAGAGCTAGTTGAATGCTTGATACCGTATCAACTGCATGGCCAAATTATTGGTGATTGAAGTGAGATGTGACCTATTTCACAGTGCAGATGCCAGGTTTACTCATGTTTTTAGAAACTGATAAGATTTTTCTAGCAAATGCAATGGCTGTAAACCACCAAAGTCACTGCCTTTCCTAGTATATTAGCTATGGTAAAAATAAGTGGCTGTTGGCACTGATATACGGACTACAGCATATTGGTAAAGAAGATATGAGAAACCAGCATTCAGTTCAGGGAGGTATAATAGCATGTGTTTTTCTTGCCATTTATTCACTAGTATATGTTGTGATTTTGTGGGCGTTTGTTGGACTAACGTTCTGTTCTTTGCTTGTGTTCTAGAAACATCATGTGCGGCTTGCTACACTGCACACATCTGAACGAGCGCACAGAGCTGGGTATGGAGTCCGTGACACGGCTCTCACGCTCCTTCATACACTCTCAGCACGGCAGTGCTATTCTACCCTGCCACACCGCAATGATAGATCTCGGCTTGAACAATAGGGACCCGGGACTCACTCCCAATGGAGCCAAGTGTGGTGACAACATGGTTAGTCCATTGCATCGGTTGTTATAGTTGTGTAATTACACACTGATCTGGGTAGGGTAACTCTATTTATGTTGTCGATGTTAATATTATGTATGCATATGTGCGCGCATGTGTACAGTCAATCCTGGATATAACAGCTACTCAAGGGAAAGTGTAAAAGGGGCCTTTATATATAGGTGGTATTTCTATAGAGGTAGGCAGCCGTTGTTAATTCTTGCCATGGGAGATCTACGTGTATATGAACGGTGCGTGAAGGTATATGAAGTGGGATGAATGGTAATGCATGAGAAGGTAGGGGTGAATGAAGGTGAAAAAGAAGGGGGAAAGGGGAAAGGAGTGAATGTAGGAGGAAAAGGAAGGGGGAAAGGAGTGAATGAAGGAGGAAAAGGAAGGGGGAAAGGAGTGTATGTAGGAGGAAAAGAGGAAAATTGTGGGAAAGTGGAGGAGGAAGGAGGATAGGAGAGTTTTATACATCCTTGAACCTACTGTGTAATTCTGTTTTGACTGTTTAGGAGACATGTGTAGAGTCTTTCAGTTATTTGCATTGTGATGAACTTAAATGCTCCTTTTCAGATTTCTCCTCTGAGTAATAGTCCAGACTTGCTTCATAATCAGTAGTGCAATCCTTGTCATTATAAGTACCCATCATTGTAATCAGTATTCCAATGAACTTCTTTTATTCAGGTTCCATATGCATGCAATCGTGCGTGCGTGTGTGTGCATATGACTTTTATAATTAGCGTATAGTCTCTATTTATTTACATTGCCTTTCAGATGTGCATTAACGAGTCATGTCAGAGTGTAGAAGATATAAAGATATTCCAGTGCCCTGAGCAATGTCACAATAAAGGGGTAAGTTGTCACATTTTATTAGCTGATGTGAATTATGGATATATGAATATTGTTGAAATGTTATTGAAATGCTCCAGCTGTCATAGGTCAGTTATTACCCAAGTATTGATCAAATTACATAAGTAAGTTTAATGATCTCATTGTTCAAATTAGATTAATCACATCATCTTCACAATGTAATAGTTTAATTTTTTATAAAAGCATACTTACTTTTTATTAGATACCTTCGTGTCTATCAAGTTATTCTATCAATAGCCCATCTAATCTCATTTTGGTTTAATTAATGTAGGTTTGCAACAATAGAGGGCACTGCCACTGTATTGAGGGTTATTCGCCTCCACTATGCGATGTTCCTGGCTTGGGAGGAAGCATCGATAGCGGGCCACCTCTCACCAGCATAAGACCCAGTCGACTGTTGGTCATCCTACTGTGCCTTTTCGTCAGCATTAGCTTTCTCATAGTCGCAGTGCTAGTCGTCATATTTAAGCATAAGGGACTGCGAGATTGGATGGTGCTGAACAGTGCAAAGAAGACGAAAAAGCAAGCCTTCATGTATGTGTTTACTATCTCATAAGGCAATATCTTGTTTAACCGTAAAAAGTTCGTTGTTTAGAGTTTCATCAGCACATTTTAATGGTCCTTATTAAACACATTACTGCATTAGGTATACACTTTAGATTAATTTTTGATTTACATTCAACCACACTAGAAACATTTTCAAAAGCATTAGCAACAGTTTTATAAAGTTACAAAGATTAGATACATCGTATTGTGCGGTACCGTGAAAAATGAGTTCAAGGCTATTGAAACTATCAAGTTATTGTTTTCTCATGGCCACCTTCATACAACTCTCCCGGAATATCTTTACTATGGCAGTGAACATTTTTGCAAGGGCTTCATTTGCTAACTATGCGATAGACTAACGGTCGTATAACTTGCATCACGCGCTCATTCCGAATGATTGCGTAAATATCAGAATAAATTTTAATTAAAATAAAAAAAATATTAATTACGAATGTAAACATCGTGTCGTTTCCTTCTCGTAATCAGGTCGTCGAGCAGCGTCGTAAAAACACCGAGGAAGACGCCGTCGATGACGTCGAAGCCCATCGCGTCGGTGCCCTCATTCAAGATGAACAACGGAGTGACGAGCCCGACGTGCGACGTGCCCGTGCGTCCGGCGCCGGCCGTCCCTCTGCCATCGCGGCCGTCGTTCAACAAGGCCGACATCGGGCGACCGGTCGCCAACGGCGTGGCGCCGTCCGCCGACCTGCAGCCGCTGCTGCCTCCGCCGCCGCAGCAGCAGCATCACGCGGTGCATCGAACGCACAGCGTCGCTCTGCCCGCGAAGCCGCACCCGCCGACCGTCGCCAAGTCGTACTCGCAGCGCGACGACGCGGGCGGCGCGATGAGGCGCCCCCTGCTGCGACGCGGCAGCTCGTCGACGCCGGAGACGGACCGCCGCGACCCTCTGCCGCCCGTCGGCGGGCCGATTGGCCGGCAGAGGGACCGAGGAGGAGGACCGTCGCTGCCGAGCTACGACCAGGCGGTCGGCGTGGTGGACGCGCAGGGCGACGGCGCGCCGGCGAGCTCGTTCGCGAGGTACCCGTGGTCGCGGAAGCCCCACCAGCACGGGATGCTGCCGCACGGCGCGCTCGCGGAGGATGACGAGGAGGCGGCGGGCGCGCACGCTGCAGTAGCCAACTCGCTGAGCGGAGACATCGACGAGGCGCTCCTGCAGAGGAACATACCGCCGGTGAGACCGCTGCCGAAGATGAACCGGCCGCGGTCGAGCGCCGGCGATCAGCAGCACGTCGCGCGGTCCCCGCCACCGAAGCCTAGTCCGCCGCGTCTCGGCGCCGCGGTGCAGCCGCACAACCCTCTGCACGTGCAGATTTCAGCCAAAGAACGTCCCGCGCAGCCGCAGAGGCCCAGTCCCGTCTACTCGGCGAGCTCGGACGTGATGCCGCTAGCCGGCGGTCATCCGGCCGGGCGGGCGGCGTCTTTCGATAGGGGCGCTGCAGCGCTCGGTCGCAGCGCACCCAGGAGATCCGGCAGCGACAGAACTTCGCCGTACACCGCCGGCGCGACGATGAAATCCTTCAAACCGTCGCCGCCGCCGCCGCTGTCGTCGTCGATGACGAGCTTCAAGCCGCCGCCGTCGTCGGCGCCACCTGGCGGCAGGAGCACGCTCGGCAGGAGCGCGAGCGTGGCGGAGGCGAGCCACGCGGGGGCGCCGGCGTCGGCGGTGCGGCGGAGCGCGAGCGCGCTGCCCAGCCAGCCCTCGCTGCCCGTCTACCAGAACGTGCCGCGGACGCTGAAGCGGTCGGCGTCGCAGCGACCGACAAAGCCGCCGCCGGGGCCGCCGGTGCCGCGGCGCGGGGGCAGCCTGACGCGCGACGCGTCACCGCCACGAGTCTACGGCGTCAGCGACGACGAGAGCGAGCACTACTACAACACGCGCGCCGGCGACAGCCTCTACTGCAACGACGTGCTGGGAGCGCGCGACACGCTGGCCGAGGCCGAGGAGGAGGAGGAGGAGGAGGACTACTATCAGGACGTGCAGGCGCCCGACTGGTACAACGCGAACAACAACCACAAGTGCGAGCGGCGCGGCGGCGCGGCGGACGGCGGTCGCGGCGCGGCGGCGCGTTACGCGATGACCAAGGTTGACCTTCCCGTGAAGGCGGCCCTGCGAGTGGGCCGCGCTGCCAGCTCGCTGGGCGCGCTCTCGGTGTTGGAGCGCGCGAAGAAACTGGGCAGTCTGTTCGGATCGTCGTCGTCGGCCGCGCTAGAAGGTCGAGACCAACGAACACTCGCGGCGAGTGAAGAAGGATCGACTCCGGCGAGAGGTGCCGCATATACCTAACCCGCAGTCATAGTGTAGATCAGAGCGTGTTGCATCAGTCCTTATGCATTCGATAGTTCTGTTCTAGTGTTGGTAGTGCATACAATTTTTCTTTTCTTTGGATAAAGCTTCGATTTTATCCAGTGTTATGAAGATACGGATAGATAAGATCAGCTAGTGCTTGTGGAAAAGTATCTTCAGTGATTTTCCGTTCTGAGGTGATGTTCAATTGATAAATATCTGTTTGGTGTCATTGGATAACATGGTCGATTTATTACTTGTTGATGGTTTTCAATTAGTTATACCAATTTTGAACATCGAATGGGAGAGAAATATCGAATCTGGATTGATTTTTTCCCTTGAGTTGTGTGCATGTATTTAATTTATATGTATATTATTTTCATATATATATGTATTGAATGCCAATATGTATACTGTATATATACCAACATATTTGATTTCGCAATGTAAACCTATTAATTGGATTACATAACGTGATTCAAACAAATTTTTAGATCCCTATTGAAATTATCAGTTATATATTACTATATCAAAGTACTCGTTATACATGAAGGCATACAATCTTTCCTAGTCGACAACATGATTTTCATATTGATATCGTATAAGATTTCATCAGTTCATCTCTAGTCGCAGGAAATAATCAAGTGCGATTTTTTTACCATCAGTGTATAAAATCGACCATGAGATTTAATGAAATTATCCATTTCACAAAATAGATTTGGGAAAATTCTTGGGTGGTTGATTTAGGTAATTTAAAACAATTGAGGAGATTAATTGCCATATAATTGGTTGTGTTGTAGTGCAATACGAGTATTTTATCAAAAGGTTGTGAGAGGAAGGCATACATCTATAGTCAAACAGTTACCATTGTCAGCTGATATTAATTGTCTTCAGCACATATGTATCAGCGTCCCCACATAATGGCTGTCGATGTCATTAAGGCTTGCCTTTTATTAATTTTCATTTGCCTCCAATACAAGCGAGTAGCACATTGGGATTAGCATAACGTTTATCTGAAACATAATTTGAAGAAGTGCATCCACTATATAGCTAGATCAAACTACCCAGTCAATTTTTAAATGCGAGTCTGAGTAATATTTTGAAGATAATCATCTTTCATTTGTGTATACGCTGTTACTATAATTATCGCGTGTATTTATTTTTTTCATCGTTTGTGATTCGTGACCTTCATGGCATATTTATCCCATATTCGCAAGAGTTGGTCGGTGGCGCATTAAAGCATGACACCCAAAAATGTAATATTGGGTGAATATACATATATATATATATATATATATATATAATATAATATATATATATCATATATATATATATGTAAAGTTAGACCATTGTACGCTAAAGAGTACCACTGTTGGTTATCAGAAACCCAAAGTTTTTATAGCGGTGTGATATAGCCAGTGGGTGACTTCTTTTGATCTGTTGCATTTGATACCATTACTTTTAGTTCAAATCAAAGCTTGTGAAAAGTGTGTATATTCACGTGTATCTGGATGAGCGATGGTCCGTAGAGCAAACCTGTCCCTTTTCAAGTCCACAAAGACCATGCAGGTTTTACGTGCGTAGGATTTCTAGAATATTTGCGTAATAATGTGTGTGCGCGCGCCGTCGTGCGTGCATTGTGTGTGTGTGCGTGTGTATTTTTACGGATGAGTGTAAAACGTTACACACTGTATAGTCCGTAAATTGCTGTTTGGAGAAAGCCAAACTGTTAACGACTAACTAAGTAATTCGTACAATAATTTATATGGAATATTTGGACTACCTATGAGTACAAATGATACAACATGCGAATACGTTCTTTGTAGCATTTAGAGTATTTTCGTTATTCACAGTGGCCTATCTTTTTATCTAAACATTGCCACAAAAATATGAAGGAAAAAATCTGCAAGAGCAATACAAAGTGCTATTTATTTTATACCCCTAATCTTTGGTGTTTTGCACAGTGCTGTGCAGGAAACGGAGCTGAGTTGGCACACTGAGGTAGAGGGGACGAGAAAGAAAGGAAAGAAATAGAGAGAAAGCGCCACGCGCGAGTGAGTGAGTGTGAGTGTGGAGTGTGTGTGTGAGTAGGAAGAGAGACACACAGAAGAGAGAGAGACAGAGAGAGAAGAGAGAGAGAGAGAGAAGAGAGAGAGAGGGGGAGAGAGAGAGAGAGAGAGGAGAGAGAGAGGAGAGAGAGCGAGAGAGAGAGAGAGAGAGAGAGAGAGAGAGAGAGAGAGAGCTCAAGCATAGTGTCGCCACGAGACATACCAACCGCTGTCAGGTTAAAAAGAAGTATTGCGATGTGGTTCAGTTGATCTGAAATAGGATGCGATAGATGCCGCTATTGAAGTCTGGAGTCTAGCGAACAAAGCATTGCACTACTCTGAAATAACGCGTGCGCCCATAGCCGTTTACATGGCTATAGGAGTCAAGTCATTCGGCCTAAGTCATTCATAATCACTGTAAATATTTAACAGTCTCAGCCACACTGAGGTGGCATTATTGTATCGTTTGCTTAGAATGCGAATTTGTGTTGCACGCGCGTATTTTACAGATGTGTGCTACTTTTATAAAGAGATTATTTCCATTGTTGCGGCGTTGATCCTTTTTTATGTACTACTGCTTTCATAATGTGCCAATCGTGCGTGTGAGCGCTAGAAACGGCAAGACGCGTTTTTTATTCATTGTACATACGCCATTAATTCTTGTGCTTGCTTTCATTCGTAAGGGTTGTGTGATTGATATAATATGTATTTACACACACGTATGTATAGACACCGCGACTATGTGAATTATCATTCAGTCATTATAATATAGTAGGATGCATTAGTCATATGCTAGTTGTATTCAGTATTGCTAAACGGTAAGTCAGTTAGAAGTGTGGCCGTGGATTGTTACGAAGGTAGGGGGTGGGTGTCATGCATACCTACCGTGTGCATAATTAGTAGTATGCGCAGTTTACTTTTATGCTATCATCTGTACAAGACAGAGAAAAGTATAGAAACGCGTGAGTATGGAGTAAGAACAGTTTTTTTTCGAGCGCAACTGCTGTTGGACAGAGGGATTTGCACGAATTTTTATGAGCGAAAGGAATTTCAGTAACCGTTGGTGTTATGTGTTATGTTTACCCTTAATTGTGTACTGAGTAAAGATGTTGCTAGTAAAAAACTATCTGTTGCGGTATGTGTGCTGAGAAGAAGTCGTCCACCCGGGGCGCATTCTCTACTCATGTATCTCTGTGTAAGTGTGACATTGGGCAATAAAATGTCTCAGCTAAATTACCACATAGCTTATGGTCATCGTAACGCTGTGTTGAACGATGCGATGCAGCCGAATTTTCGTTGCCAATTTTCTCATAACCAGAATGCAATGAGCTGTGAGGTATACAGTTCTTCGCTGTAATATATATCCCCTCTGTTTTTAGCATTTCCAAGTGGTGAACGTATCAGTTTGAAATATTTTCGTTACACCTATGGTTACGGCCGGAGACGGTAATTCTTATGACACTTTGTCAAGATTTTCGGCTATATTATAGTATGAATGCATGTGCGTAGCTATTATAAATGCTATGCAATTAATGGGCTTATAAAAGTGTTATATCTCTTCTAATTGTCTGCTATTTTGTTTATTTGTTTATCTGTAAAACCCGTTCCTGTCTCTCTCGAGTCTCCCTACCTTCCTTTGCGCTTATCTTCTTTCCTCCACTCGTCACACTTCTATATCCCCCATATATTGTATCTTTCTTCTTCTTTTTCTTCTTCTTCTCGTCCCTTTTCTTCGACTTCTTCCTTCCCCCTCTTTGTGCTCTAGCTCTCTCGTTACCTCATGCTCTCCCTATCTTGCTCTCTTATGCGTGCACGCACGCACGCACGCACGCACGCACACATTTGCTCTCTCCTACTCGATATCTATCACTGTCTCCTCTTCTCCACTATTCTTTCTTTCCTTCTTGCTCTCCTACACTTATTTAACATTTTGAACTCGTTCACAATCTTTCTTATGTTCTAACTAACATAATTTCGAATTATGTCTCGGTTCACTTCTGATAATTCATTCAATCACGTAAAAATAAACACATCACAACATATAAGTAAAAATACTTTTCTTGACATAACTTGATCATCGCCGCTAAATAACATTTTTTTTAAACTGAAAACGCGTATGAACTCGGTTAATTGTGCTGGATGAGTTAAATATTATCTGTAACATACAGTTGTAATAACACGAAGGAACTAGTTTTATTCGGATCATGATGCGCACTAACAAATATTTACACACTACAATACATGCAATCAGATGCAATGATTAAAACTTGATCATATGATAGAATATAATATGGAATGGTTCGCATTGCGAATGAATGAGCGCGAAAGAGTTGTAATCGTGGCCCAGCTCTCTGCTTATTTTGGCCTTCATTATAATAATATATTTGGTTGAAATCGGCTACATCTTCACATGCGTCAGAACTAGCAGTTCGCGTCCGTCACCTTGATTGACATTAGTCTCGTTTACGTATAGATATTATCAAGAGCTCATAATAGAGAGCTCTCTATTATGAGCTCTTGATATTACGCATCTCTTGGATACTATGGTAGCAGTGGGCCGATGTTTGCCAGGTTAACGGCTGCAGCAGTCGGTGGGCTTTTTATTCTACTACCTATTCGGATGGAACACGCTCCGTTAGGTTACGCCAACGCTACCTGGCGAAGCTTACTGTTCACCCTGTCTAACAGTGAAGTTGAGATATCCATTCAACCGATATCGATTATATCGATTGTATTATGTGTTATGTTATAGCTGACCGTACTAGTGCGCCTATACAGACTTGTGCCATAAAAACGCGACTAGTTTATTTCGAAACTCGTATATGTATATTAGCATATATATTATACATATATTATCGCGGTGCCGCTGTAAAGGAGTTTGTTTAAAGCTGCTGCATAGCACGTATTTACAATGATATCACAATTCTGAGCTCAACGTGATATCAATTTTTATCTCGAATCCTTTCAATTTCAGTAAATATGAATAACAGTTACGATAATTATTCGAGTAGCTTTGTCTAGAAGTTTGCGATTGGCCAGAATCTAACAAAATTCCTCCTAAGCCACGCACGCACCCATTCATTGAATCATTTCGCAATGCGTTAGTTTAGACCATCGTGTGAGATGAGTAGGTAATCACGGTGATCTATGTACTGCTAGTGTCGTCGTACTGACTCAATGCAGATGTGTTCGTTCGAGTTCTTCTCCGGTCGCACTCGACTCCTGATGAAGAGGAAGGCTGAGACGATTACAGCCATGGTGACCATCGCACCCATGACAGTGATGCCCCAGAGGAAGCCTGCCTTGCTGATGCACATGTTGCTCTGTTTCTTCATGGTATAGCCTATAAATGAAATTCCATTCGTGAAGAAAGCATTTTTGGTGTAGTTACGTCTAATTTGATAATAAACGTTTCTAAAATCAACCTGCAGCAGTTTTATATAGCAGATTTCAAGTTTAAACATTGTGTTAAAAAACTACACTCGTAAAGGCGAAATTTCGGACACAATTGTGCTTGTTTGGATCTTTATCTGCCGATACTTACCTTCACTGTAGTCGGGCTCTCCTGGCAGTTTGATTAATACGCCCCTGTATATGTCATTCATACGAATCTTCAAGGTCGGTTTTTTCTCGGGAGCTGATGTATTTGTTTGTGTGGGTACGAAGCTTGTAGAGTTCAAAGGAATTCCCACAAATTCGTCCGTTTCCAGAATCTCTGTACTATTACTGGGATCGTCGACGGATCGCTTCTTTCTTCCGACAGTGTTGATGTCATACGTGAAACTTCTACCACCAGCTGGCGGGCCATAGTTGCCTCCGGTTGGACCACCGAACCCAGAGCCTCGTTGGTTGTTAGTGTTGTACGATGGACGTTGAGCGCTGTAGGGTGCTGACTTTTGTCTTGATAAACAGTATTGCTACACAAACACACAAAGAAGAAAATATTGCATTCAGTCGCATTCAGTTGGTTACATTATGTACGCAGTGTAATCGTACAGAAATGTTTGAAATCAAGCACTAATTATAATTGCCAGTTATTCTTGAAAATTCGTGCTCATTCGTTTGCCTATCTTTCCAGCTATACTAATACGCTTAATTTGCTACACGGCTATGTACTCACATCGCCGCATGTTTCTTCGCAGACTTGAATGCTACACTGGAAGTAAACATTCGGCCGGTCGGGGAACTTGAACGCCTTGAAAGTGCCGTAGACGATCGATGTCGTGCCCTGCGCCTCCTTCTTCAGTATCTGTATGAACTTCGGATCAGCCGGGCAGCTGAAAAAAATTTAATAATCGATTAATATTGTCTGATCGCGCCCGCGAGTAAATAAGCGCAGTGAGATTATCAGATTGTCAACGACTAATCGATTATCAACGACTAATCGAAGACGTTATCGGTCATTCAGGGGAGATCATTATGCTGCAGGCTGCAGCACGTATCCGATCACTCCAGCTACAAATTTGTTTCAGGTACTATCGCGCGCATTAGTCAGTAGTCGCGTTATATGATTCCCAGCCAAATTTACTTAATTTTAATCACTAATTTTTACTTAATTTTTAATTTCTAAATTATATTAATTACAAGTGTTTTTTTAATTTTAATTTCTTAATTTTAATTAATATTTACTAAACGAAGATTGCCAGGATTGATTGTTTACATTGTTACCGATACGCTCTGTTTTTCGTTGTTAGAGAATGAAATCGTAGTGATGCCTACCCATATTCGTCCACGAGTTGAATCTTGCTAAGTCCGACCCCGTCATGAGCGTAGCAGTTTGTGATGATCAAGTCCCAGTGATCTAAAGGTGAATACGTCAATATACTAAATAATCCTTTGTAGACGCATCGCAATGAAATATGTGCATCGCTTGTAGGTTATAGGCCCATATGAAACTATCAATGCATGTGAAATAGCGTAGCATCTTTAATTCTTATAGAAACGTGTAATGAAATATGTTTCTCGCTCAACGGTTATCTGGTAACACATTTGTTAGGTGATTATAGATTCCCAAGCCCAGATTTTTAGTACTGAGCACCTGTGCCACACCACACCACACCACATACCACGTACACATACCACAAAACCACCATACCACATACCACATACCACCATACCACCATACCACCATACCACATACCACATATCACCATACCACCATACCACATACCACATACCACATATCACCATACCACCATACCACATACCACATATCACCATACCACCATACCATCATACCACATACCACTGGCACATACCACCCATATACCACACCATATACTTTGAGCACAGATTTCCAAGCACACTTACTGTCGACAAGGTGGGAAATGATTAGCGTGGCGTGTTCTCCTACGACTAAGCCGTCAGTGCCTGGAGCCCATGGGTCGTGACCTTTAACCACACGCAGGATGGCTTTTGGTACAGGACTTTCCTGGGTTCCGTGGTATTCCGTTGGAATTTCTCTGAAATTACCATGTACGTGTATGAGTAATTCCCTCTGCAATCCTATTCTTAGCTTGCCGCACTGCTTAACTTTTCCTTTAAACTCATTCAAAGGCATTAAAACGTAAGTCATGATAAAACACCCGTATCACTGTGAACGCATGCGTCAGCACATCTACTTGTCTCACTGAAAAAAACCCGTGTCACCTTAGAACTGAAGACGTGAATGCATGCGCTATTGTCAACACCTTTCGCATCCTATACACACCTGTTGCAATATGCGATTTGCATCAGCTAATCAAACAGCTCAGTATAACTAGCATTATATGAATCTGTCTGATCTCAACTGATCTGAACTGTCAGTTTGAAACTGTCACGATCCGGGGGATTCTTTTCCACGTGATTTGTTTTACTTACGGCACTCGCACGCCATAGTTTAAGGTTGGGTGGTTCTCATCGCCCTTAAACTGGCAGCTGATGATGTAGGCTCTGTCCCACTCCTCTATGACGTTGTAGCGGTTTTCCACCATCACTATTATCGTGTTCTGGAACGTATTCTTGCTGCTTTCCAGATAGTCGCGTCCTCGGTAACCGGTCTGCAGAGCAATTATAACAAAATTAAGCATTAATAATATTAACTTTGCAACGATGTAAGCGTAAATGGAAACCCCATAGAGCTAACTCTGTATGCACTATAGCAGTATAGCGCAGCATTATGTTGCCGTTACATGTATATGTAGTTCTATACGGGGCCATGTCCGTATAATGGCTACATTGTTTGCGTTTTTCTCTGCTTGAGGTAGCATGCACACTGCAACTGGAAATGTGAATAGAGCTTACGCATAATCATGTACCCCTTTCAGTGTTCCTTGTATGTGGTGGGTACATTTATAATAAATTATTAAATATCAGAGATTTTTCAGATCTAACAGAGCTTGACCCAATGCCCTGGTATAATGCCGTAAGCCAGTTTACGTGCCTTACGCGAGCCCATATGATTGTATGAAGGCATTTGATCTGTATAGTAACGAGTCGCGCTATAATCCAGAATAAACGCAACTCGCGCTTACCTATGATCGTGTTCACAAACATCAGTTAACTATTTAATGAATTGACGAATAATTAATCTACTAATAATTATCTACGCTTTCAGTTTTCGACATTCGAGTACCTCTGTTATAGGATATTACCAATGCTTGTATGTAATAGCGTTAAAAATAATATTTGCTCAGTTACCATTTACACATGGTGAGTCGCATATGCTGCGTAGCATAGGTTTAAAAAAAGATGTAAATAAGACATCATTTAATTACTTATCAGCGGCTGTAATAACGCCGGTTAGACCTCATACCGCAATGACATATCTTAGTGGAAGACAAATTAAGAAGAACCCTTAAAAGGCTAATCAAAACGATTTAAGCGCGTTTGCTGTGACGACCTAGATAGCCAATTTCGTATGCTCACTGTCATTATTATACGTTTACTACTATATTATCAGGAGTCTATCAATAGTCTATTGATAGACTCCTGATATTATATACTTACACCTATATTATACGCTTACTTCTATATTATACGCTTACTCCTATATTATACGCTTACTCCTATATTATACGCTTACTCCTATATTATACGCTTACTCCTATATTATACGCTTACTCCTATATTATACGCTAACTCCTATATTATACACTTACGTCGTCTAGTTCGACGGTTCCGCACCCGTCTAGCGGTATGCCGACGTACAGGTTGCTGCTGCCGGTGCCGTGAGCCACGCACTGTTCAATAGCGTAGTAACCACGCGGGTAAATACGACCCGCAAACTCCTTGTAGAACTCGAACTCGACCTGCATGGTGTTGCTGACCTTGTCACAGGTGACCTTCAACTCTGTAATGATAGCAGGGATTCATAATGTTGCTGTGATTTTCTTGAGAAAAAAATACTGTTGCGATTAATATGTTGTCTTGATAATTCGGCTGGGCTTACGCTCGTTTGATTTATTATCGAGTAGTCGTCAATTAAAACTGTTATTAACAATTTTTTTAATTAAAATTTTGTTCAATTAAAAAAAACTTTACCTTTGACCACGCTGCTGCCAGTATTGCTGCTTCCGTACCCAGTAGGCCGAGTGTACGTTCCTCCTATTCCGTTCTGAATAGGTCCGCTTCCGGAGCCGTACGCAGTACCCGTGCGGCCATAGCCCTGTCCACGTCCCACCGCTCCTGAGTATCCGGCGCCACCGTAAGTGTTGCCATAACCTGCGGCGCCACCAGCGGAGAGGCCAGCTCCTCCTGCACCATATCCTCCTATTTCCTGACTTCCTCCGTACTCCGGTCCTACTCCCACCCCACCTCCGTAGCCACCCACCGCACCGCCGTATCCACCAGCCGCGCTACCCCCACCATACCCTGCCCCACTGCTACCCCCACCATACCCTGCCCCACTGCTACCCCCACCATACCCTGCCTCACTGCCACCATACCCAGCCGCGCTACCCCCGCCATACCCTGATCCACTGCTACCACCACCATAGCTGCCACTTCCCGTTCCTCCGTAGTTTCCGGCGGAGGACACGCCTGATCCGTGAGCGCTGTTGGTTGCGCTGTGCCCTCCTCCGCTGCCGCCGCCAGAGTAGCCGCCAGCGTCATCGTACCCAGAGCCGTAGTTGTACTCGTAACCCTTAGAAGCTCCGCCGCCACCGTATCCACTGTTGATCGTTCCGCCGACTCTCCCATGCGCGCCATTCGCAGGGTAGCCACCTCCGATGCCTCCTCCGTGTCCGCCGGCGCCTGTGCCGCCATACCCTGCTCCTATCCCGGCGCCTGTGCCGCCATACCCTGCTCCTATCCCGGCGCCTGTGCCGCCATACCCTGCTCCTATCCCGGCGCCACCTCCGTAGTCACCACCAGTGCTTCCATACTCTCCCCCTACGCCGTGACCACTTCCTTCCGTACCATAAGAGCCACCTCCCACTCCTCCATATCCTCCTCCTCCTCTTCCTCCTCCATATTCTCCTCCTCCTCCATATCCTCCTCCTCCTCTTCCTCCTCCATATTCTCCTCCTCCTCCATATCTTCCTCCTCCTCCATATTCTCCTCCTCTACGCCCTCCTGCTTCATACCCTTCTTCTCCGTACCCTTCTTCTACGTATCCTGCACCTCCGCTTCCCCCTCCTTCGTATCCGCCTCCTCCGTATCCCCCTCCTTCGCGTCCTCGTCCTCCGTATCCTCCTCTCCCGTATCCCCCTCCTCCTCCTCCGTGTCCCCCTCCTACTGCTCCTCCTCCTCCTCCGTGTCCCCCTCCTACTGCTCCTCCTCCTCCTCCGTGTCCCCCTCCTACTGCTCCTCCTCCTCCTCCGTGTCCCCCTCCTCCGTATCCTCCGCCTCCTCCGTGTCCTCCTCCTCCGTATCCTCCGCCTCCTCCTCCTCCGTGTCCCCCTCCTCCGTCTCCTCCGCCGCCTCCTCCGTGTCCCCCTTCTCCGTATCCTCCTTTTCCGTGCCCACCTCCATATTTCCCATAGGATGGCGTGTGGAAGACGTAATGGTCAGTGTAGGTTGATTCGTACAGGTCTTCGTAAGGAATGGTGTGTCTCTTGAAGTAGACGTATGGCGAGTGCGTCGTCGTCGTGTGTTTGTGAAGGTAGCCGTAGTAATATGACGGCTTATATCCGTAACCGCCATGTCCTCCCTGGCCGCTATTACCTCCACCATGTCCTCCATTTCGTCCGTTGTAATAGTAGCCCTCTGCTGCTATGGCGGCAACCTATACAAGCACGTGACAACAAAGGTGTTAATATAGCTGTGACTAACGCTGTGACTATATTATAAAGAAAATTTCAAATAAAGGTGTGTTGAATGAATGAAGCTGTCCGCGTGACTATTGTTATATAGCTATGTTATCTGGAATGATCTACTTCATATATATATATATATATATAATATATATATAATTGAACTGTGTTCAATCATCATAATATCATGTTTACTCAATACCGATTGATCATTTTTTTATTGTTATAAGGCATCAAGTCACGTATAACTATTATTGTTATTATCTTTAATTCGGAACGAATGTACTTTCTATTGCCTAGTTTGTCATTAATTCACTAAAGCTCTAGTTAAAGGTAATGGTTAGAGGGCATGTATGATACTAAGCCGGAAAGGTTGACGGGTCATATATACTCGCTCTGCCTTTTTTGCGTGCAGCAATTCAATGCGGTAAATTGCGACCATGGTACAAACACCAGAGACAACAACACGTGTCCATCCCAGATGATAATTGGCATAGTTTGACCTAGTGTGGTGTCGAAAGCAGGTTATATTTACCGAACAATGCGGGTGTTATAATTGGTCTCACTCAACCGGTTGCACGCAAAATCATTACTGATCACAGGTGGTTTTCACGGTTGCTAACTTTCTTACTGATTTTTTAGCTTTCGCCGGTAGTTTATTAATTAGTGGTATCCGCGTGGTAGCTACCAGAGCTGACAGCAATTCAACGCATAAGGTCGTCGTTCCAGATGGCAGATGATGGGGGGTTATTATTTACGTGCGCGTATAATATTCTTTATTATGAAACTTGTCGCTGTGGCAAGGACAACAAGTTACTGCCAGTGTCTGCGACATGTGGTGGTAGGCCTACGTAATGGCAACGTTGAAAAGAGTCCCCAATACAGTCCGGCAATGTCGTTCACCATCGCCATATTCGATGAGTAAAAAATACAAGGTGCATGGCGACCGAACTGAGAGGAAACCCTATCGAACGAGCTAAACTCCCTGAGCTCAGTCACGGAGCGTTACATGCAGCTAACATGCTGCTTTTGTCGGGGAGTCAGCGCAAAATATGTTACGTATCTCGTTATTGTAATCGACTTATGCTAGAATGTCATCTAATATCGTGTAACAATATGAAATCGATTTGCGGCCCTTACCATTGTCGCCATAACGAGTAGCGTCTTTCCTATTCTCACCATTGCGGTGGTGATGAACTGGCCAGGTTATGACACTATTTTCCTGAAAGAAATTCATATCAACGTTAGTTTACACACATTCTGTTACGAGCAGTCCTCACTGCCCTGCCTGTGGCAACTACACTTTAACAAGCGAATCGTCACAAAATAAATATAATAAACAATAAAAACATGTATGCATTGTAGTTATTTGGGGAACGAGTAGAATAGCTGTTGCCTAGCCCGGGATATTTAATACCTTTTACAATTTGCAGCTACTCGTTGAGTAACGTACGCCCGTCACAGATGACCGTTATATGTTCCTTGGTGGTTGAGAAAATGACCGGTAAGTGACTCGTTAGAATGACTGAAGTAAATGTGCAGAGAAATCTCATAAGCCAACGCTAGCAAAATAGGCTTATGCATAAAAACTGCCCCACTGCGCCTTCATGCTTTTTTGACATCCGGCAAGATGGTGCAAACTTCACCCGCGGCAGGCTCGGACCTTTATAAAGATCTACTAACACATAGACATTCACTACTAAAGAGAAGGTTGACTATATAGCTGTCGAACTCTTGAATACTTCCATGACAGGGGCTTCAGCTTTACTGCATGCTCTTCTCTTTTGATTTTGAGGAACTACTATCCTAGGTCATCAGACACATCTGTGACATTGCTATGGGTCTTATAGGTGTTATGCGTGATACCTGTTGGTACCGTATCATACTGCTCGTGTCAGTGCTGTCATGATATAACTTAACAATGAACGCCGTATATTCGTTCTGGCAATACGTCGACCTCTGCGCAATCGAGGAACAATGCGTGTGCATGTAAATTTTCTGCCATTGCTGCGGCATCGGTCACGAGGCGAAGCACGCGGCGGGCTTGTCGTTAACAAATGACTCGTTCTTTCCGATATATGAAGGGCACGGTGATTAACGCTAACCGATAACGGTGTCATCACGGCACCCGGGGCACACACACACACTCGTAAGCACGCGCTGTGAGTCATCGTCAACACACATAAGGACTACGCATCGGCGACCTTTCTTTACGAACGAGTTATACTCCCATCGTTCGTAGCGCGTGCACAAGCACCACATGCTCGTTCAAATTTAGGTCTCTGTGTTACTAGCAGTTTAGAAACTGAACTGTAACTAGAATATGCACATAGAGAACAATTATTAATAATACATACTGTGACTCGAAGAAGAAACGTTAACTTGTGAACGTTAAGTAAAAACGTACGGGTCAGGATTGCATAACGAATTAAATAGGAAGATATTAGGCTGGCATTTGAGAATATGTTATGATATACATATTGCATAAATCGGTAGGCCTACATATTTGCGTTTTCAGATATCAACTTTTATGATTGTAGGCCTACATCGAAAATGTTTAGATTGGACGCTGCCCTAATATTATACAATTAATCTTTTACCTGGCAATTTTTGGCTTACGATAAAAACTCACACTGCTAGTGAAATATACGATATTGCAATAACCCTATTATCTTTAACAATTAAATAAGAAACGTCCCCGGTCTGTATACTGTGGCTGAAACGTTGAGTAGCTTCGTTTGTGAGGGCGCTTCTAGTGTTAACCGCCAGGGTTGTAGGCATACGATCATCGACAGTTCTGCAACATTTTTCAACATTTTTCCAGCAAATACCGCGTTACCAATATAACTTTAACCTATACTTAAACTAAAAATGATGCCTGGACTGTTGTTCCCAATTAGAAATGGGTTGATGGGCACTGAACTGCTGAACAGGCACTGAATTTCATTATAACGAGTATTAAACACAATTGATTTTTATCAGCTGTTGAAAAGATTTGTCTCGTGTAGCACTATTACCCTGTAATGTAAGATTGTTTTTGGTAGATGCTAAAATTTATATCAAAGAACCCGTGAGATTCTATGTGAGATTCTATAAAGACGTACACCAGCTGTTCCAATACTGCACATGCGATGAGCTCTTACATAACTGAATTCATTTTAATCGAACAGTCGTGATCGTAAGGTTTCTATCTGTAAATATCTGTAAATGGAACAGGAACCTCGATAAAGGTTCCAAGCATAGTATTCTTATATATTTACTCGAAAGCTTTCTAAACGGACGGTGAAAAAAACACGAAAAGGACAACGCATCTATTATTGCTACATTTAAGCGCGCAGGCACTCTAGTCAATGAAGTTAAACTCATCTTGTGAAATAGCCTGGCACTTCCTTGTCTTTTGTCGGATTTTTTTAACATAAAACTAGAGTACGTATGCGTGACTCCGTGACTTGTTTTGCCCCAAGCAAGTTTAATAATCATTGGACATGAATATGCATTGTGCTATCCTGGGATTAAAGTCTGGTGACCGCATATACGAAAGGTGTGTCACAGGCTAGATTAGTTGTTATAGGTCACAATGCCTTTTAATTGGCAAGTAATTCATTACTCGGTCCTCGCAATATACGCTATTGTGCCCTACTTATGCGTACACACGCGCGCGCGCACACGCACACACACACACCCACACACATTTATTTATTTATAATCTGTTTATTATATTTTTTATCACTTTATTTACTTATCTGTTTTTTGCAAGCAGCAGATTAATTGGAATTGTTTTATCCACGCTGATGATAGACCATCCCCAATGTCGTACACCGCCGCAAAAAGTCATAGTCAACAACGAATCAAACAACGCATTCGTGATTATCATGGGCACCGACAATAGATTTCGCATACAACAAAGTCAGGCGTCCGAAAGTACCGCCATTCAAATTAGCCATGCATGTAGCCGCCGGTACACTGTATCCTTTCGATAGTTGTTCATGGTATCCGAAGTAGTAGGGCACCTACACACCTGAGCACACACGCGACAGGTGAGGTAAATCAGAGCGGAGCGTCTCGGCCCTAATCAGCGCTTTATCTCAAACTTATAATGTAGCGTTGCATGGACTATATTAGGACAATCATTTCTATTGCTCGGAATACCTTTGAAATTAGACGATATACGCATACACACACATGATGGATTCGCGTCTATGCGTTTCTGACCGCTGTTGTAACATTTCATTCAACTTTTGCAGTCAGTCGAATACAGAAAAGTGTTTGCCCTTTCGCAATCTCTCAACTAGCTGTCGCCAAACTACAGGCATAGTTTGAAAGTACCATTAGTGCGTGAGTGAGTGAACTAAAACTATATTATATAGCTTACAGATAGCTTACAGATAGGCAGCTGACCGCTAGTCAGTTTTACCAATGTTTACATCTATGCTGTAGTGTGCTACAAGTTTATTCCTAGTATTAGTAGTAATCTTAGTAAGGACCTTTTGACAAATTATTCTCAAGGTTTAGAATACATTGTAATATAGCAGATATAATTTAGAGAATTCACGTCTGGCCTTTTACTGAATGGTAATAGATTTATATGTCTGTCGCGACAATTGAGGCATTTATGTTGCCTGCGAAAGGGAAGAAATCGTGGGTGAGTTATTAACAGTGACCACAATATTTAGATTTGAAGCGGTAGATTCGTTGTGAGAAATGTATTCAACCTGTCTGTATGTAAATCCTTATCTCAAATATTATTATTGACGATCATAATGAAAAGTAGAAGTGGAATGTGCTGCACTCTATAATATACTACTAAGTATTACGTAATACTATCATATAAGTATACTGCGACACTCGTAGTCGAAACCCGCAACATTCACCCATTCACCTATAGGCCTAGTACTTTTATACTATAGTCTGGTTATAGCGAGTGGAGTAATTATACCAAATCATGCAAATAATGGATGTCCTAAAATGTTTGGCGAGTCACGGCACGCTGCGTGACACCGCGCCCAACTGTAATATAAATGTTTATGATTGACCTAGTCTCATTACCTAGTTGCATCAAAATAGCAACTAGGCACGGGTTGATTGTCTCCGGTTATCTGTCGCTGACGTGCTACGTGTACTAACTAATATAAGTTGGAACGAAAACGAAACTACATGCGCTGAATTGGCCGCGTTGCAAAGTGTCAAATAGCCCGAGGCTCTTTACGTCTCCATTGTAGGTGACGAAGCGAACGTATCCTATTATAGTTTTCCCACACTTAACATTCTGCGAGCATTCAAACAGACAGTTGAGAAGCGTACACACAGACACGTGAGAAAGTTCGTGACCAATTTAGCCGCGGCAAGTCGTTCATCTCGCCCGCGGCTCAGTTGTTATAACCCAACAACAACATAATGGAAATGTTCTTTTATGTCCGTCTTGTCGACTTTATCTTTCACTAGTTCGGTGGTTCGGACAGGTTTTGTAAAATGATGCATTGAAAAGTGAAAATGTTATTATCATTACAATAGCAGTTATAAATAGTTTGGGGCAACTGGCATTGGAGTAATGAATTCACCTGCGCTAGGAGATTCCTGGAAAAATAGGGGATGAAATCTGGTTTAGGTTAATGAACTTATATTAGCTTAAAGAAGTGTGATGAATATATAGCTTAAAGGCTCGACGGTCTGCACGTGAATATGAAGCTGAATTGCTGCGTTGTATATCCAGTTAACACGCTCATATTTGCAAACTTTTAAAACCCTAATATTTTACCAATACATTTTATAAGCTAAGCCTCGAACGAATTTATAGCTATCATTGACACGCTACATAGAATAAAAAAATAAATACTTTCTAACGATCACGACAATCAGTGATTCTTGCTCTTTGGGGAAGCGTGATATAGTGAGATGGCATGCAGTTCTTACCTTTTCTGTCGTTGCCGCTGAAGTCTTGCAATCGAAATCTCAGATCACAATTAGAGATGCACATACACAGGGACCGTGAAAGTCGGAGCGGCCCGGCGGATATCGACACTGCCCAGCGTAAAATGACAAAGCGCCATCAATAGCGGGACAGTTATATCAATGTATCTAGGTCTTGACCCAGAATTGGTACCGGCTACAGGGTGCAATGTGGGTTAGGCGCGGTGGTACTAGCTGAGCTGCTGCGCTGCGCGGGCCATGCGCCAGGTACAAAGCAAGGAATCCGCGCAGATGGATCACAAGTGTAAGGGCCTATCACGATAAGACAATTAGTCACCGAGCGCACACTTGGATCCGGGTTGCTATTGTTTTTCGCTTCGGAACGGCAGCAGTCTACGATCGTTGCTAGCGTTAGTTATGAGCGATCATTTCCACGGCGTCTCTATTAACTCTAAGATCACCGTGATTTTTGCTGATATCATATCGAATAATCCTACCAATTTTCCACGCACAAAAATTGGTGAAAGTTTCTGCTTGAGCGCGTCTAAGTTCATCCCTATCTCGAGACACGTGAATGATGTGCACACGTCGTGATTGATACACACGTCGTAATTGTATGCATGGGTACTTGTTAGGATGCGAGCCACGGTATCAGGCGGTACCAGTACCAACTAGTGAAAACACGCCTGTGTTACTCTGGGATGCATGTCACGCATGAGGAGATAAGAAGGTGTTGCAGAACTCGAGATCGCGCGTATGAGTTGTTAGATCATTTTAAATAAGTAAAAGTTTAATGGGGAAAATGGGGCAACCTATACACGATTGAGATCTATTCGCACCAAGTATTCAGTTAAAGGTGAATAGCAACTATAGCAACAGTAACAAATGCATAAAAAGACCAGAATACATTAACAATATGACGACTACGGTGACGATTACGATGATGATGACGGCGATGGAAACGTTGACATTGGCAGGGACAGTGACAGTGACACTGACAGTTACAATCATAGTAACAGTGACAATAACAACAACAGTGACAGTGTCAGCGACAGTGATAGTGTCAGTGACAGTAACAATAACAATGACAGTGATAGTGACAGGGAAAGTGACAGTGACAGCGACAGTGACATAACAACAAGAATAATGACAACGACAACGACAACAATAAGACAACGACAACGACAACGACAACGATAACGATAACGATAACGATAACGATAACGATAACGATAACGATAACAATAACAATAAAAATAACAATAAAATAACAAGCCCACAGGCCCGCAGATTTTTCATTACCCACATCCCTATTTCGGTAAGTCCCCACATCCCCTTTGTATAAGTCTATTTTAACTGACATACAAATCGATATAATATATAATATACATATATATATATATATATATATATATATATATATATATATAATGTTTATCTAATTATAAAAGCTTAATTAAAATAACTAGCTAATAATTATAATGGCTTAACTATTATAATATTTCTAACCAGTGGAGTTTTCTCAATTCTAAATTGAGTTATCTGTTTCACTTTCTCTAAAATCATAATTTTAATCCCCATTTTATCATAAATTTGTTCATATGGATTCTGTTATAAATCCCAGTACGTTTGAACTAGTCTGCTTGCGCAGTGTACGTAGAAATAAATGACATCATGCTGGATTTTGAATTTGAATACGCTTACACAAAATTACATGCAGAGAATACTGCTTCGTTTACTTAATCATTAATTAATTCACAAGTTATTTTTTAAATTTCATTCTTTTTCCTAATTCTTAACTTAGAATCAAACTAAATTTAATTTATGCTTAATTACTTTTCCATCTGTAGTTGCTTGCGTAAATTGTCTTGAATGTCTACTAGGAATGATTTCTTAATTAAAAACACCGCAAATATCTAATTTCCTTGCCAATAACATTGATTGCGCACGATTTTCGGCAGACGATGAACAAAAATACAAGGATCAGAAAAAAAATCCTATAAATTTTCCAGAAAAGATTACCACACGCATAATATAACCGCATGATAATTTCGAATGGGAAAACCGAAAGCCCGATGCCGAATTTCTCTTGTAATGAGCATTCACGTTGAGAGACCTCCAATCGTCGACGCATCCCAATACTTGTTAAATCCGGCGTTTAGCTGGCAGCGTCGTCGCGAAGGTCGCACGCACACACTCGCGTTATAGAGAAACGCGGCGCAATTAATGGCATCCTCATCCGCCCCGTTGGGTAACGGCCTACAGATAGGATTCGCATGGTCGCATTCTTACACCCTTCTACTCGTACGCGGCAGCCTTCAACGGTTTGATGACGTACAGCCATGCCAGCACTTCAACGTGCGGAATGACAGCCGGACTTGCTAGTTAATCACTATTATGAAACGGTGCGACGCCGTACTTTGCTGCCTATCCGCGGATAGGTGTGTGTATATACAAGAGCAACCGCAGCTGGCGCACACAATGGAAACGGGTGAAAATATAGGTTAGGCGGTTTGTATAACACGCCGACCCGGAAGTGACGTTGTATGTTGATGGCGACTACAACTTTCGTTAGCTCGTGGATTTATTGGTTCGTATAGTGTCTGCCGCGTTCGGGGATGATTTCCGTGCCTGTAAAATTTTGTTGCAGGAATTTGTCATGTGTGCTCAACGTTATATTGAATAAACGTAAAGGATATTAGGTCTTGGTACTATTTTTGGTAGTATATTCGCTCATCATTTGCCTTTCAGCGCAAACTAATTGAGATTAATTATATCAGCATTTTATTAATTTAAACATACGTTGGCTATCACTCGGCTGAGTAAAGAAATATAACTTGTTTGTGTGTAACTTTTGCCAACTTGAAATCGCACATGAAAATCACCTGCTGATTATAAGGATATATTAAACGAGAATGTTTCTAGGTTCTATATGATGATGATAGTGGTGTGGGCACGTAATGACCTGTGTAACAAGAATGCTGTCTTACCGGGCATATTAAATTATATTACACGCGCCATTGTATAATTTATTAAATGGAAGTTACATAGATAATGAAACAAGTATAGACGCGTGCCAACGTACGAATAACCACGATAGTCATGCATGCACCACACGCATATGATCGCATGCACGTACGCACGTAGACACAGGCGAGCGCGCACGCAAGCAAGCACGTGCGCCGGCAGAAAACGCAGAAACGGCACGCCACACACATACACACACACACACACACACACACACACACACACACACACACACACACACACACACACACACACACACACACACAAACACATACACACACGCGCGCACACACACACTCACACACAAACACACACACACACATACACACGCGCGCACACAGCGCACTGTCAATGTTACACTATGATGTCCTTTCGGCTTCATTTTCGTCCTCCTCTGAATTCCTCCTAGAGGTTGTTTGTTCGAACTTGGGGGCAAACAGATCGAGCCTTGTTGTGTGGTTAGCGTGGCGCCATTTAGGGCGTTACATCGCCTACTCTGTTCTGCTTCTAATTCGCGACCTACTTGTATATACTTATGCGACCAATGGTGCACCCGCGTGCCCTTTCTAACAGCTTTAGTATGATTCGTCTCATTCCGGTAAAACGCTTCTCTCTATTTGCGATGCGCGCATTTCGTTTTCACTCTGCTTGCACAGTTCTGGAGTTGCACCACTAGTTCAATGGGTCAGTCCTGCAGACGAGAGTGGGGTAGAGGTCAAATCCTGCTGTGGCAGCAAGCAGCGAAAGCGCCACAGATTTCACGCATAACCGGCTAGCAGGTGGCGTAGAATCGCTGTAAACTATACCCTCGTCACGCGCGCACCTACGCTAATAGTTCTCACTTCAATTCACACATTCGTCAAAGCTGCATAAATAGCATTTCTAACGTTTTCATATCAAATCGATTAAATACACGCAGTTATACGTATCTTCATACTATCTTGTAACGGACGTTAACTCTATATAATACCATGTTTGGGTCTATTTAGCATAAGCAGTTTGCCATTCCAAATTAAATTAATTACCTGTATGGGGTGTGTCAAGTGTTAACGTTTATGAGAAATAGCATTTCAATATTATTTTGCCAAACGTGAAAATATAGATAAACTGGGTGAATATGCTTTGCCAAACCGTATAATGTTTTTACTGAACAATATCGTGTCGATGCCGAACCGTATCATGTTTATACTGAACAATATCGTATTAGTGCAGCAGTATCATGTTGGTGCCGAACAGTATCGTGTCAGTGCAGCAGTATCATGTTGGTGCCGAAAAGTATCGTGTTGATGTCCAGCAGTATCGTGTTGGTACTGAAAACATATATGATAGCGAATCAGGTTGTTAAAAAAATTCAATGGGCTGGAAAATTTCCTTGAGCGGAAATTCTTGCAAGACTCGCCAACTAACGAAGTTTTGCCGCCGCTATGGCGACAAAGACGCCATATTAAAATACGTAAAGCAACGCGGGTGATGACATTCGAAGGCGAGGATACCATGAACACAGCCTCTTGCACTTCTTCGCAGTTTATCTGAAGAACGCGTAACATTCTCGACACGAAATCCGAACACGGGAATTAGAGACGACCTAAGTGCACCACCTTCGCCACGGGGGGATACTCCATTGTACCAGCGCCACGTTGTATACTGGACTATGACAGACATTGCGAACTAACTGCTTGACATAACAGCGTCCGTGCGCAGGTTAGGCGTCAATAGACACCGGTGGGTAAAGATAATGCACGTATTGTTCGTGCGCGGTCGTCTTTGTTCGTTTGACCGGAATGTTCGTGATCGTTCATTGCTACCAGGTTCATTATAACAGGTCAGCATCATGCTAGCACGGATGTCTGCTGCAGTAAAGAGTTGTATAGGCCTATTTAGCAGTATCAATATCTAGCTACAGCCACGCGGATATAGAGGGCTCGCTATAACTATCTCATTAGCAATTATGATGATGATGATGATGATAATAATAATAATAATAATAATAATAATAATGATGATGATGATAATAATAATAATAATAATAATAATAATAATAATAATAATAATATAAATAAAGTATTATGTTGATAACACGTGCTTGCTGATTGATATAACAGTACCATCTGCATGAGAAAAATGTGTCACTCCAAGTAATTGTGAAACCTTTATATTACAAAGATGTAGAGATCGGAAGTAATAAAATGGGGAAAATGAAAACGATAATATATAGCATAGCTCTTGTAGTGGTCGGATATTTAGGAATCATAAGAAATGAACGACAAAGAATGTCCGCGCGTGTATATATATATATATATTATATTTGTGCGTGCCGATAGATAGTATTAATATTAAATATTATTTTTAGTAATATGAAAAAATATGGTGCAAAACCATGGGAACGTGAAAGAATACGTCAAATTTCTACCGATGCCACATTGTGATATATATATATATATATCCTTTGTACCCGTGTGAGGTTACAAGAACAGTATGTTAACTTCTTAGCACGTAACTTTGCGCAACCGGATATTCTTTCGCTACCCGATGATTCACCGTGTCACTGCCCCGCCTTCAACAATGGCGCGTTTTAATAAAACGCCCTCTTACTATGTGTTGTTGGATGATCTCACCATCACTGTCTAACACATGTTGCTTCCATAAAAATGGAATATATAGTGTGTGTAGTGAGTGGGAGGGGAGGTGCGTGCGTGCGAGCGTGTGTCTGTCGGTGTAATAATGAGTTAGAGCAAAGCGACTATATTGATCAATATAGGCTCTTTGGTTAGATCACAATATATATTCTGCTAAGGTTTGGAAAACCAGTCCTGGTTACATGAACGTCAAATTATACGAATACTGCGCGCGAGTAAAGCTAAATGCGTCTATTTTCTTGCGAAATGCACATGTGTAGTTAATCTTCGGTCTTGCATGACTTTAGCAAGTCACTAAAGTTATGATCACGTAGGTGTTTCGCTGGAGAGCTGGTGTATAGCACTCACATATTATTATTATTATTATTATTATTGCGATTTCACCATTCTATAATTGCCGGACACCGGGTAATTTAAATCTGCCATCGGTGCTTGCTGAGATATGAAACCCTGATATTGATATAGTTAGTAGTTATATGATGACGTTAGATATATTAGTGTACTTATTGCACAGTTACGTATTACACTCAGCATACTAAGGATATATGAATATATAAATTGAATATAGGCTATATTCTAAATCAGCCATAGAAGAAGAATTACGTATGTAAGTTAATGATTCGTGAATGATTTCCCATAACAATAATTCGTGCCTTCCAGTGTGTTATATATTGCCAGCGGGACTTATTCTCAAAACTATTTGCACTCATATATTTCTTGTGTTTTTTTGTAGCTAGGTAGGCCTATATATAGCTAGGCACTATAATATTACCTGAGCACGCGCATCGTTAAAATACTGGAAAACATAATTGATCGCATATAGATTTATTCCCAAGAGAACCTTAACAATAACTATGCCCGACAATGAAGTGCTGCTGCAACTATGGCTGTATATACTGCTATGGTTTCCTACACCTACTATGGTGTCCTGCATGCGCTATAGAATATTTCCCCATGCATATTCAGCCATACATCCACTATGACATCTTACAACGGCCATAGAGCACCAACCCACCGCACTATACACGCACCCTGCACACTATGCGGCACCAAATGTATCTAAGAGACCTACCCTTAGTATGAAGTACAAACCCACATGGCGCTACACATCTAACATGGAGCCTACAATATGACTGAACGCATTTAACAATTTATACTTGAATAAGTCATACTACAAATCCCTATACCTATACCTATACCAAATCCCTATCCCTACTACCTAAAAGTTCATATTGGATTCACTTCATTTTCATCCATCATATAATTTATATTGTCAAATAGCACTATATCGCATATCTATCACTTGTATTCATATTATATATATATATATATATATATATATATATATATATATATATATATATATAACCTCTTGCGATCGAATGATAACTGGCTTAATAAATATAACATGTTCAACGAGCTATAGTGAACGCTCTCTACTTCAGCTTCTTCATACGGAATAGCTGTAGATATGAAAGTGTCATGAAGCCTAAGCCAAGCCCAGTCAGAGCGACCATATTCCTCCAAAGGTCCCATTCCGAATCGAACTGCATACCATTTAGAGTGAGGTAGTCGGATCCATTCGTGCACGTATATACGCTAGAGAGGATAGAGAGAGAAAACAAGTCATTATTTGTTTAATGGGGGCCAGTACCGGCAGATTGCTTAAGGAATTAAACTTTCAATTAGCTGTTTTTTGTTTAAATTGACTGTTAGATTCATATAGATTCTTAAGTGCAATTTGCTCATGTTAGCTCATGTAAGACGCATTAGTAGGAGCGTGTAGTGACCCCACTCTACTATCATAAGGAAAACTCACAGTTCCTCCTCAACGGTGACGTTAGCACAGAATTGAGCTCCTTTGAGTTCGATCAGAGAAAGCGCGTTGAAAGCATAATGTTGGATGCTGAGGTACTTTATCCAAGAGAGCCAGACAGGCATGGTGTTCAGGTTAACCAGCAAACCAGCAAATATCTGAATGCAAGGTCAGGAGGGAAGTGATATTTCTTAGGCTATCAGGTGTTAATTAAGGCATCATATGGATTGCACATTGCAACCCATGCGAATGCGCACACGTACAGAAGCACACGCGCGCACCTGAACGCGCGCACACACCAGCCGCGCGCACGCACGCATTCACGTCCCCTCATACGCCCAGACACGCGTACATGCACGCACACGCTCATACACGGAAACAGAGATAGAGAGACGCGCGCGTACACGATTAAGTGAGATTCTCTTGCCTTAACTCTCTCATATGTCTTGTTATGGGGGCCATGTTGACATCCGAGTCTTATGAGGCCGTGAACGCGATAGATTAAAACGTTAACGTAAAAGTAATAACCTAATAAAGTCTAAAACTAAATTAAATAAAGCATTTAAACTGAATAATTATTGTAAAAAATTGCTGGTTTCTACTCACATTCATCAAAAGAAAGCACATTGATGCGAGCATGTTCGCGATGGCAAACACATTGAATGTTGCTGATGCTGCGAACGCTACTCCGGATGAAGCGATCGTCACCAGAATCAGGACGAGGAAAAACTCGAAAAACGCAGCCGCATCAACACGCAAGCCTGCATAAAAAAAACAGTGAGGCGTTAACGAGATGCTTTTTTATATTGAGCTGTTGAAATGGTGAAAATGGCAGCCATCATGTGCCGCTATAATTAATTATATAAATTGATAAAAGAAGGCAACTAATCTACTATTATTTCGTATTGATGAACTACGCATGCGTGCGCGTGTGTGCGTGTGCGTGTGCGTGCGTGCGTGCGTGTTTTTGTTTTTAAATGTGCGTCTGCGTATTTATTTATTTATTTATTTATTTATTTGTTTGTTGATTTATTTATTTAGATACCAATCATCCAGTATGTTATAGCCGAATACACAACCACAGGCACCATTCGTCGGGGAAGAAAATCGCTGAAGACTTTCGCCATAAAGTATACAGACACTCGGTAGAATCCACTGATGTTCTCGTGACTGCGGGTAATTAAAAATGGTACACAACTTAAAATCGCACGAACACAAAAGTAATATTACCACTGCGTTTAAAATCCGCATTACAATTTATATGGAGGAAACTTACTATCTCCCTTGTATATGCGAAAACGTTATAACAAGATGAGTACGCAAGAAAATAAATAAATATCGCTAATGTTGCAGACTTATTCAAGTTGGAAGGTTAGATGTGAATTTTACATTACTAGCTAGTGTTTCTCATTGATTAAGTATACCTACTCAATGCAATATTATACCATACTAAAATACGTACCTCACTTTTTATTATCATTAGTTATAACAATTGTGATTAGCTGTCTATAACTTACATGAATATCGGACGTTCCTTTATAAAGAGTTCAACGGATGACAAGTTTCCAAACACCAAGCCGAGGAGGATGAGGAAAAAAACTCCAACTCTGTTGCAACAGACAAAGACACAAGTGAATAATTAAATACATCCGATAAAGAATTGTGATTGAACTTTCCATATTACACGTCTACGTGGACATGCTAGCTTGTGATACTTTCCGTTTACAATAAATGCTATAAGAAATTGACAGCACAATTTTGCACGAGTACAGTAATTTGTATACCACGTCTATGTGTATGACAATGTGTTAATTTTGGTCCATATGACGAGCTGGATATCTCACCTGTCTTGAATTGCATTGAGAGGATTGCCACCAATTTGAAAGTAGATGGTTCCAACTACAACCGCTTGGATCAGCATTACAACTGTCTGAAAGTCCAGCAAAAAGTTTCGAGTTAATCTACGATGCCTATATCATGCATAGAACTATTTGTAATGATATAATATAAAAATGAAAACCGTCAAATAAAAAGTTATATTATTATATTATATATAACTTTTCATTTGACGGTCTCAACCTGCGCAGCTCAGCTAAGTATTTATCCTCAACGAAACGTTGTTAGTATATTATCCGCTAGTTAATATAATGCCCTCTGAAATATAAACTTTGGAAGTTATCTACCGGCAACTACTACAGATTTTTTATGTTTAATGTCTCAATAAAATGTCACTAGTACTTGACAATTAATGCGCCTGTTGTAATACGCAGGAAAGCGCAGAACACTTTGGTGAATAGAAATCAATTGTTGGCGTCCGGGCAGCGCACCTGCACAACAGAAGTCATTGGATTTCTCATAATGTTGAGTCCAGCTCTCCCGGAGACGATCTTCAGCTACAATTATATTATCGGTTATCATCGATTATCATTTAGCGATTATCGATCCATTATTATCGATTTAGTTGCAGAAACCCGCGGTAATCACAAAGATTCGATAATTTCGGAAGCTCGAATGCCTCTCAAATTGAGCATGATCGTTGTTTTATGAATGATAAACACAGTAGGCGTGGAAAGTGATATAAACTTGCAGCTAGTATAAGAGTTTTAAATTTTTACATCAGGGTCTGCTAGGCTACAAGTCTACACGGTAAAAATGAAGCAACGCTTGACTCGCAACACCCGTGACCAACTGTTCTACTCTATCACCTTCCTTACCTGATGACCCCAGCCTTTACTATACTACGTCACGTTCCTTACCGGATGACCCCAGCCGTAACTAAACTCCGTTATTAACCAATGCCTTAATTTACCACATCTTCCTCCCTCTCTCTCTCACCATCTATTCCTTCTCGTCTTCCTCTGCTTCTCCTCCACTACTCCCCCTCCATATTCTCAGCAATAGTAAACCGAGGTGTACTATTTGCTACTATTTACCTCTGACCAATTTTCCGATGACAAGTTTTTCAGTGACCAATTTTCCTACACCCACTTTCTTCCTTCCCTACCTGGTGACCCCATCCGTTGCTGTAATCTACTGCCTTGAGTTGTTGCTCAGTACCGCTCGCCACCCTGGCGTTGTAATCGTTGAGGATCGGATCGATCTCCTTCTGCACTCGTTGGTTATATTCCGACTGATTGTAAGCTTTCAATAGGACGTTGAAGCGTTCTGCCATGCGGTCAAATCTCTGATCGGCTGGCAGAGAGGATAGGATAATAATATCATATAGAGACTATATTTTTATTGCTGTTCGGCGCTATTTGAAAATGACGAAGTAGGTATTCAACACGATTAATACGGCGACAACTGTATTTTCTATGCTGATGCTTTGGCACGAAATCTGTCAGTCTCGCTCTTTCTTGTAATTAGCAAACGACGTTTTGATAATTAAATAAATAGTAAAAGTATATGACTCTGTTCTGAAGTTCTTTGCTTTAAAACATATTTTTAACATACATTTAATATAAACAAACGTTCATAGTTCAATCTATAACTGGTCACTGTGTAAGAAGTATATAAAGCACTGCAATTTATAGATGACACGAAGCGTCTTGAAATAGTTAACCTAGCTAAGAAGCCCAATGAGTGCATTTGCTACTAAAGAACAACGGGCTGCATAGTCTGAAAGGGTATAATTTAGATCGTGTGAGTACGGACGGTATGGCTATACAATATCGCTGGGATCGACAGGATTTAAAGGCACTGTACCTTCATTCGTACTCTGTGATTTATTTAAATGTTTGTTGGCTTCAGATGATTGTGCAATATTCTCTGGAAGAGGAAAAAAGAAATGTCAGGATTGTAAAACATGAAAGCAATAAGCACATTTACGATTAATGTAGTTTTACTACATAAATATTCTCAGTTGATACCTAATAACCTAGTACGATCATTACTATAACATTTAGTCTGCAGTAGGGTTGTGTATATGTTTTCTTCTGAATCATAGCCTACCTTGCCCCTCATCACTACACAGTCTCTCAGAATTATAGCTTACTTTCCCCTCTCATCACTACACAGTCTCCCAGAATTATAGCCTACCTTCCCCCTCATCACTACACAGTCTCCCAGAATTATAGCTTACTTTCCCCTCTCATCACTACACAGTCTCCCAGAATTAAAGCCTACATTTTACCTCATCAGTACATAGTCTCCCAGAATAATAGTCGTCATCCTTACCTCTTGTTGACTGCAGCCCTTCGGAACTGTAAGGTATCTTACTTCTTATCAAATATACAGTCGTTGTTCAGATCTGTAACTAACCTGTCTTCTCGTTTTCTTCA